ATGTGTTGGTTACAAGATCCACGCGGTGGTTATGGTTCGTTTGCTTAGATTGTGGTGCACGGTACAACAAGCTGCTCCAACGGTCGCGATATTGTCCCCCTTGGTTGCGGGGTGGGGGAGCATTTAAATCGAGATGTCAAATGACAACCATAAATCAAGACCACATGAGCCCCACCCGATTTATGGTTTAGATATAGGGACTACAAATGGACCATTGGATATAGGGACCACATGAGCCCAATCCGATTTATGGTTTAGATATAGGGACTTTTTATTAGGCGTCCTTGCCCGAATTAGGAGATCCTTGGCTGGGCACCTCGCCCAAATGCCTTTTATTAGGAGATCCACATGAGCCACCATAGTAGCAGATAAATCGGGATGTCAAATGACAACCTAAAGAAATATGTCATTCTTCTCCCTCTCAAATAGACCACAAATAACAAAAACTGAAAAACAGTAAATAAAAAAAACTCCAGTTTGGCAAAAAAAATGTTGAATAAGCAATTAGTTATACACCATATATTGGTTCCTATTCCATAAAAGATCAAGTTTCAAGGCAACCTAAAAGCTCAAATGCCTCCAGGGGCACAATTCCTTCTATCCATCCGAACCATTGGGGTTTATTTAGGTGTGAGCAAAAAAACCGAAAAACCGAACCGACTGGTATACATATATTTCCATATGTATTTATGTATATTATATATATTTTGTATATTATAACTTAATAAATATGCATTATATATAAATATATATTTATTATTTAAAATATAATATTTTATATATATTTATAATTTTTTATTATATATATTTTTATAATATATATTATAAAAATAAAAAAACCGAAAAACTGGCAAACTGAACCAACAGTTAACTGAACCGGTCAACCGGTTAACCTATTGGCTTCGGTTACCGGTTTTCCAAAAACTGGTAGTACCGGTTCAGTTACAAAAAAAGGCCCACGGTTCGGTTAACCCAACCATGAGCACCCCTAGGTTTATTTGTAATGAGCAATGTCCCACTGTCCCAGAGCGTACTTGACCAGTCCATAAAGATGCCCTCTGATGGAAGAGAACTTACTGGAAATGTGAAGCATTGCTGTATACCAAGTTGGTAGAAGTTTTAAGGATAGTTTAATGGATTTAAAGATAAAATGAACAAATAAAGAAGGGAAATTTGTGTATAATGAAAAAGCAAAGCCCAACTCCTACAACAAGGCTTACCAACTAAGGAAATCGTATTCTTAGGTTTTCATACCATGGTGAGATGAGAGTCTCATTTCTCAAAGCAAGCAAATGGTTTATATAAAAAGAATCTGAGTTGCAAAGTAAACAGCCTAACGAAAAAGAAAAATATGAAACTTGTCCTGTATCAACAAGGATGGAACATCTTGTTGACCCCCTTTAGGATCCTTAGACTTGGGCTTGTCAGAAAAATGAGCAGCATTTAGCTAGGCATCTTGTTCAACCGCTAGTTTTTGCAGTGCTCCCCATCAGGTATCAATTGTTTTAGGTGTCTTCTTGTTGAAGCCGTAGAGCTGTCTACTAGTTCTTTATGTCTATTGTTAAAGTTGGTTATTCATTCAATTTTGCTTTGCAAGTCCTACTTTTAAATGGGAATGTTTCATCATCATCATCATCCAAGCCTTATCCCAACTATATAGGGTTGGCTACATGAATCATGTCTTGCCATTCCATTCTGTTTAATGCCATATCCATTGTTAAATTATGGGCACTTAAATCATGTCCTTTTTGGTCTACCCCTACACCTTCTAGCCCCTTCAACTTGCAACAAATTGCTTCTTGCAGGTGTTGTTTGTGGTCTTCTATGCATGTGACCAGTCCAACTTAGTCCTACTTCCTCTCATTTCATCACCTATTAGAGCTACTCCTAGGTTCTTTCAAATGACTTCACCTCTGACCCTATCCTTTCTGGTTTTCCATTCATCCATCTCAGTATATGCATTTCTGCCACATTTGTTTTTTGGACGTGTTTCTTGACTGCCCAACATTCTGCTGGACAGTGAAGAACCGATAAGTGATGCAAGGCTACAACGCTATTTGATTTGTGGCCTGAGAAAAGAATTCATGCCATTCATCTCATCTATTCAAGGGTGGACAAACCAACCGTCTATTGTTGAGTTGGAGAATTTGATGAAGAATTCTACTTGGGATTTAGTTCCCAAACCAAATGATGTTGATGTCATTACATGTAAATGGGCTTATAAGTTAAAGAAGGCAGCAGATGGAAGCATTACAAGACACAAAGGTCGCTTAGTTGCTCGTGGCTTTTCTCAACAGTATGGTTTGGATTACGAGGACACTTTCAGTCCTGTTGCGAAAATGGTTATGGTTCGCACTTTTATTTCCTTGGCTGCAAGCAAAGGTTGGACTCTTTGGCAATTTGATGTGAAGAACGCTTTCCTCTATGGTGAACTAGATCGTGATATTTACATGGAGCAACCACAGGGGTTTGTGTCAGAGAAGTTTCCCGAACATGTATGTCGACTTAAAAAGGCACTTTATGGACTCAAGCAAGCGCCTCGAGCCTGGTACGGAAAGATTGCTGAGTATTTTAAATTCTATGGTTTTTATCCTTCAAATTCAGATCCTAGTCTCTTTGTTAAGGTGAAGGCATCACTGTCCGTTATGATTCTTCTTTATGTGGACTATATGCTAGTTACAGGAGGTGATATAGCTGAAATCATGCGCCTTCAAGAAGATTTATCTGTTCGTTTTGAAATAAAAAGCTTGGGTGAAGCTCATTGTTTTTTGGGTTTAGAATTAGAACGATCAGATGGTTACTTCCTTTCACAAAAAGGATATGCTGCAAAGATTCTAAAACGGTTTCGGTATGGAGAAATCAAACTCTACAACTACTCCCATGGATCCGGGTCTCAAGTTACAGAAGGATGAAGGAGAGTTTTTGCATGATGTAACAGAATATCGTAGAATGGTGGGGAGTTTACTGTATTTGACAATTACTAGCCCAGATATTATTTTTTCAGTGGGCATAATTTCTCAGATCATGGAGCGACCTTGTGTTGGTCATATGGCTGCTGCAAAACGCATATTGAGGTATGTGAAAGGAACCTTGAATTATGGCTTACTTTATCAACACAAAAGGATTTTTTCTCTACAAGGTTATGTCGATGCTGATTGGGCTGGGAATGTAAATGATAGACGCTCCACCACAGGCTACTGTTTTAATATTGGTTCAGCAGTTATATCATGGTGCAGTAAGAAGCAAGCTACAGTGGCGTTATCAAGCACAGAGGCTGAATATGTTGCAGCCACTTTAGCTTCTCAGGAGTGTATTTGGCTTACAAGACTTCTTCAAGATGTTAATGAAGTTTCAAAGTTTCCAATTCCCATTTTTTGTGATAATGAAAGTGTCATCAGACTTGCTGAAAACCCAGTGCTTCATGCTCGCACGAAGCATATTGCTGTTCACTATCATTTTATTCGAGACAAGGTACTGAATCAAGAAATTGAGTTGCTTGCCATACGCACAACTGAGCAGGTTGCAGATGGATTTACAAAGGCTCTATCTAGAGCTAAGTTTGAAGAATTTCGAAGAAAACTTGGCCTTGTTGATCGAGGGAATGCACTAAGGGGGAGTGTTACAAGTTAGTGCATCCCCTCCTTGCATGAGTCAGTCAAGTTTGTGTTATTTTTCAATAATTTTATTTGATTTTTCTTGCTGTTAGTAGTTGATTTGGTCTTTGTCAGTTGAGTAAAATTAGGAGTCATAAGTTATCTCAGTCTTGGTTAGTTGAGAAATGTTAGCAATTCAGTTCAGCTATTTAATTATAAATAAGAGTCTGTAATCTCAAGTTCATCGGTGAGTTGTTTTGAGTTTATTACCTCCTAAATCTGTTATATGTTTCTCACCGAGTAATAAACACTTTACTACTTTGTTCTATTTGTTTCCTAGCTGCAACATAGCTAATTACAACTGTTATATAAAATTTTCCTTTCACTCTAAGTGATATTTGTCTGTCACATAAGACACCGGATGCACCCCTCCTATTTGCCTATCCCACTCTAATTCTATGGGTCACATCCTCTTCAATCTCTCCATTACGAATTATTCAACCAAGGTATTGGAAGAGGTCACATTGCATTATCTTTTGATCTCAAATCTTAAGTGTATCCTCATTTGCACTCTTATTATTATTAAATTTACGTATCATATATTCTGTTTTGGTCTTATTTTAAAGCTTCTTTCTTTTAAGGTATTTTTCCATGAACTTAATTTTCCATTTAGTCCTTAATTAGTTTCATCAATTAAGACAATATCATCAGCAAACAAAATACACCATGAGACCCTACATGAGAACGATTCTTAAGAGGAAAGCAAAGTTCTGGAAAATGGAGATGCCAAGTATCCCATGACTTGAGAAGGTAAGGAGGTTAATCTAGGAAACCTGAAAAATGTACTTGGAGTAGTTGCAATGTTCCACAGTGCAGCCTTATTTTGATTCTAACTTCCTTACTAATATTTGCTAAATGTAGCATTTGGGGAATAATCATCTGATAATATAATTTCAGATGCTCCTACAGTCCTACTTCAACTTGTTACTATACAGCTACTTCGCTGTACACAATGACCAAATTTGTCTCTACAGATTTATTTTTGTAGGTTTTCTGGATGGCTCCAACCTTGGAAAGCCAAATGCCACAGCATGAAAAGCTCAACCCCCCAGACAAGTTATTGCATTGTTATGTGGTTCTCTGATTACCATGCTTTTCATAGAACATAGGCCCAATAACTTTGACTTGGCAGCTTCTCTTCTACAGCTATCAACTGGACTTGTATCGTGTTGTTATACACTAATACTTCTTTAGAAATTGCAGCATTCCAAAATTCTTTATTTCATGTAGGTCCTCTGAAATAACATAATTGACGTTCTACTAAGCCTCAATATTAGGAGAACTGAAGTCTAGTAGAAGAGTTCAATAGGGATGTTGACAGCATAAATGGAATATCTGTTTTCGCAGTTTAAAGTTCTTATCATTTATGGGTGAATCATTTACAATTCAAATAAGCTCCAACCTAGTCAGTCGGCTTTCTGAGGATGGAGGGAAGTCAAAGAAGAAAACAAAGAAACCTAAACCAAAGACACATGCCCCTCAGCAGTCACAGAATAGGGCACATGAGAAACAAATTTCTGATGGTTTTGATAAGCACAAGGGCACTGCTACTCCAGGATGGCCACTCCAGCCCCCTATCTTCTTGCCAGTAACTCCACCACCAACTGTTGCCAATGCAGAGTTAGATGCAATTCGATCCATACTCCAAGAGAGTCAGAGTGTGTTGGAGAGGTTGCAGAAGCAGGAGGAGAACATGGTGCAGGAAGTAACACAGAGAGCCAAGGAGCTGCGTGACAAGGAATTCAAGCTTCCCTATCAGAAGCCCATGCCTTGTCTAGCAGAGAAAGATGCTTGCTTGGAGTGTTACAAGGAGAATACCAAGGATCCACTAAAATGTGCTGATGTGGTGAAAACTTTTGCTGATTGTGCTCGCAGAGTTAGGCAGCAGGTGAGCTCACCACTGGGTTGATTAGTGGACCTTAAATTGGGTAGAAACTATGAATATTTGCTTCCCTGAATGCAACTGAATTACCGATTATAATGGTACTGAGACTTTTGTCATGAGAATAAGGCAATTTCTTCCCATTTTTGGGTTTGATGATGTATTTCACATATTATCCTTGAAACGGGCATCACGATTTTGACTTATGAGAAGTAATATTCTAGACTTGTATTTTCGTGGTTACTCATATTTTTTTAAGCCTTGGGGCTAATTCTATTTCACCAGCCAAAGAAATTACTTCTCATTTAGAATCACTGACCTCAATAAGTCCAGCATACGTGATCAGTAATCAGTATGATGTTACTGATACTCCATGGAGGCTTCGGGTCATAAGATAGCACCTCAACAGCCGACTTAACATCACTCTCGTCTCTCGATAGAAACGAGGATTATTTGTAAACAGCAATCCTTCCAGAATAGCTAACGTTTCAGACTCCTCCAGGTACACACTTTGAACCCTAGCAGCGTGTTCACCCCAATTATTAGACAAGGCCCAAGCACCTTCCACGTTAACTTTGGTGGAGGTTTAGACCATTGGGGGGAAGGGATATAAGTAGGGGCTGGAGAGTAATAACCACCACCCTTGTCATCTGAAGACTTTAGGGCCCATTTAGTTCACTGGAATAGGGGTCTACAATTGGAATTGGAATGGGCCATTGGGCTATTCTGATTCTAACCGTTTGGTTGGACGGAGTCAGAATTCCATTCCCATTCCTGGTGGCATGGGCATGGCATCCCCATTTGAAGGAATGGCCATTCACTCCCCCTCCCCTGGGAATGAAGTCCTATTCCAGATGATTTCAATTCTCATTCCCATTCTTGTCTGAATCAAACAATGGGCTCTCATCTTTAACTCCTTCAAAGAAAAATCAAGCCTATGGAGTCTGTTGGTAATTAATTGAGAGCAGAAGATTTTGCATGATGCCAAATGTTCTGCCAATGGACTTCCTCTAGGTTTAAAAGCTGTCCTATCACTTTTCAAGTTCTGAGCACAAATCCAACTCCGTCCTCAACCTAGACCTTAAATCCTCATGATGTCGTGCATGGTCGACATCAGGTGTACTTGGGATCTGAACTTCAGGCACATCCTCCGGCTCTCTATTCCACACCATCTGATAAACTCCGATGATCAGTTACTATAAAATTAATTATAGGCTCAGTTTGGAAGCACTGTACATATTTATATTTTAGACTCAGAAACTAAGCCCCAAGAGTAAAACAATTTCTTGGATGACATGATACCGGTTGATTGATTATCGGTTCTTTTACGCACCATACCTTTTTGGTACTATAGTTAGACTCCCCTTTTTCCTTACTGTAATTTGTAAAATAACATTTTTTTTTGCTTGATAATTAATGTGCTTGGTTCTTGCCATGCTGATTTCCACGCTTGTCATACAAGCTAGCAAGAATATATGCTCGTGCAAATGTATAACGTAATACGAGTAGAACTCATATTAACAAGTAAATTCTTTTTACACCCTTGAGTGGTATTGCAATTACCACGAAGGAAAAAATGAGAGAGAGAGAGAGAGCATCAACAGGGGCAAAGGCAGAGGTTGCTTTCTATGGTTTTTATCCATTTGCTTATGATGGGATTTACTTCCTCCGGACACTCATCATGCGGACAATGGCCTGAAATATCAATAACAACCGAGAAACAATGACGGACAACAGATGTGAGATAACAACACAGACACAACAAACAAAAAAAACGTAAGAGAAAGATGAAAGGAAAATACATACTGAAAGGTGAAAGTGCCATCCTACCTGCCTCTAATTCTCTGATCGCAACTCCACCGCAATGCTCCCTAAGCATTGAAAGTTTCAAGTCAGACTTGGAGAGAGGGTCTTTCATTCCCTGTTTGTGAAGAATGAAACAGAAAAAAAAAATTATCAGCAAGTGATTTTCATAGAGACTGGTTAAGTTCACTTCTTCATGTTAGTTTTACCTGTACAATCAAGACCTTTCCTCCAAAGGATTCTATGAGATAATTAAGAGGAATTGAGAGGTTGAAGTTGAATACACTTTCCAAGACTGATAGCGCACCGGGATCATATGACTTTTGATGTTTGTTAAGGAAATGCATAACCCTTTACCAGAAAAAAAAAAAGGACAATGCATTATCAGGAAGGTAGAGATACATTTAATGAATAGGAAGGTGACTGTGGGCCCCACCGGGAATACTTCTGCTAAGTAAGAAACTAGGCTCTCAGTTGCTCAGCTGCACAACCAATGGATGTGTGTATTAGTGTTAAAAAGGTGTACCTAAGCTTATGGGTGAGGCTCATTTTGTGGGGTGTGCCCCACTTGAACCCAAGTGCACTTCACCTGGTCTTTTATTTTTTGGTGAATCAACCTTGGATTTTGTAGAGATGCAGTACTTTTCTAGGTTAAGGGCTGGAATAATCATTGATTGAAGGCCTGATTTTCGGATGTTTTTGTGGTGTTTTAGTTGCTGCCCAAGACTGGAAACTTGGAGACTGCCAGAAAACCAGGAGGAATCAGAGAAATCAACCGGTTTGTGATTTAGGGGTTAAACTACTGATTTGATGTGGCACCTAGCGCTACCTGGCAGTGTTTTCTTGTACCTTAGAGACCAGTTCCAACTTGCAAGCAGAATATATTTGTAGATCATTGGAGAGAGCAACTGCACTTTTCACTTTTTTCCAAGAGGTGGTTCTAGTTTTTTTTCCTTTTCAAGAAAGGTGATCTGAAATCTATGTTTGCAGAGATTATTCTGGTCAGTTTCTTTTGTTTTTGAATTATAAGGGAAGTCTTGCTGCTGCTAGAAGGGTGTTCCAACCTGTGAAGAGGTGGTCTGAATTACTTGGCTTCTTTTAGGGCTCAGTTCTGTCAAGTAGTAGTGAATTGGGATGGCTGATTGCTCCAAGTAATGAGATTTTATTCTTGAACCCATTTTGCGAAGATTAGGATTCTCCTGGAAATTGATCCAAGATTACCGGGGAAAGTATTCTAGGGGATGAAGCATAACAGACAGCAGTAACTTTCAAATTACAGCAGTTAAGCTTGATGGGGTGAACTGCTTACAGTGGGTCCAATCAGCTATGATGACAATTGGAGGAAGAGGTAAGATAGGATATCTAACTGGTGAGACTACAGCAGGTGGGTTCAAGAGAACTACATGGTAACAACTTGGTTTTGCAACTCTAAGCAGCTCCATATTAACCACTACTACCTATGGATGAAGACAGCTAAAGAGGTTTGGAATAATGTGAAAAAAATATATACTCCCAACCTCTTAATGTTGGAGCCTATGAATCAAGAAGTAAAGTGACCAATCTTAAGCAAAGGGAGAAGCCAGTGTCAGTTTATTTGTCTACCCTTAAGTCACTTTGGCATGAGATTGATGACTTGGAAACTATAGAATGATAAAGACAAAATGATGCTGCTACTTACAGGAAGTTAGTTGAAAGGAACCGGGCTTTTGAATTTATTACTGGACTAAACTATGAATATGACATTGTCAAGCAGAGGATTCTTACACAAGAGAATGTTATTTTGTCTCAAGCTTATTCTCTGGTGCATAGTGAAGAGAGTACAAGGAAGGTCATACTTCAGACATCAACAGTTGTCCTTTTCCTTGTAGCTACGAAAACAGTGGTGGAAAGGAGAAGGAACCAAAGAAGGAAGAGAAGAAATAAATTAAGTTCAGCTAGAAACTACTGCATCTCTATAGGTTTAATGTTGAATAGGTAATTTACCATATTATAGGTTGTACACTTGTACCTGTGATGTTCAGAGTTTAAGTAATTTAGCCTGTGTAGGACTTGATTATAAGGCTATAATCTTCATGTTACTAAGATATTAATATAAACCATTAAGATTTTCTCAAAAACAGCACCTCAATTTGTTCAAGCACACGCCTTGCCTTGCAACTTTCATCTAGGGTTCTAGGAACTCCATGCGTTGTAGTTGCATTTCTTGCTTTTAAAACACTGGTATGCATACAGTGTTAGCTATATCCTAAAAAATAAAATAAAAGGCATGCTGCCTGGTGAGACGCCAATATCTTTTTTCCAAGGACACGTTTACTTCTGTTAACTAGTAAACTGGAGGTCAGGTTGGTCAAGTCCACCCATCCTAAGATCCTAAATAGCCAAGACAAGACACTCAGTAGTGACTTTTTTTGTTAAATAAGGTAAATCACTGATGATCTGCCTAATCTCCACCATCATAATATGCAGCTGCGCACTCAGGTGTAGAAGGATGGGCAGACATGATGAAAAATGTAGAATTGCAGCTACTAATGAGGATACTGCCCTGGTCAATTCCTCAATAAGAAAATCATCCGCTCGCTCTGTGTTCTGTAACTCAAAATGTATGAAAGAGACCAACCTTATGAAGCATCTAGAAGTAGAACATCAAGTTGGTGGTAATGTCAGAGAAACACTTACTGTTGGATAGCAGTTCTTCAAAATGTCTCCAACTCTCCATCTCAAATACAATAATAATAGTTGGCTTCCTAGCCATGCAGCCTCTGAAGTACGCCTTTCCTGAACATTGTGAAACATCAACTTCCAGCTGGAGAAACAATATTGACAGAAGCATATCTAAAAGGGGGGTATTGACTGTGTTGGCCTGTTGGGGGTGTTGACATGAAACCATGGTGAAGCCAGAAAGTTCAAAAAGGGGGATCATTCCTAAAATATCCCTAACCTTTGGTTGTAAACATGTAATCCACAAAAAATATTGGCAAAAAAAAATCTGGAGGCAATCTTTTACCATCTAGGTAGCTCATTGGATGTTGGCAGTTGATAGTTTAGAGGTATATTCACCATAAGAGACTGGTAATATGTTTTGGGATCTTCTGTCTCAAGAGATCAGAGTTGAGACAGAATTGGTTATCCCATTAATTAAGTTGTTTTAGACACAGAAGTAAATCAGTCCTCTAAAACTGATATAAACTTGATTAAAATTATAGAGAAAAGTGGAAGAAAGGTAGAAGACAGCAGTACAAAGGAAGAAGATGGAGAAAAGAAGAGGAAGAAGAAGAAGAGTTTGATAATCTTCTCTCTTTCCTCTCTAATCCTTTTGTTAACTTCATTCACTAAGTTAATTACAAGTATGCCCTTAGGTAGGTAGCCAGATAAGCAAGAACTTAAAGTAAGCTTATAAAAAGAAGTAACAGGCCCATTAACAAACAAATAAGTAACACACTACAAAAAATAAAAGAATGGATACTAGGGCCCATTCGGCCCAGTCTCTCTACAGACACAATGTTGAAGATAAAATGGGGCAAGGTTGTGATCGGGTTGCACAAGCACTGTAAAAGTTAGTTTCTTCAGAACACAGCTCTTAGCTCTTCTCTGAGGCTAAAAAATTATGGTTGACCTGGTGATTGAATGAATTACTGTAAAAGATATTCACAAAATCTCTTATTTTCTTATTATGAAATTGTATAATGGGCTTGCTCAGTCTGTTGTTTTAGTTTTTTTAAATCCTTATTTTCTAATTCTTTGGAAGTATGGCTGGTACAGATACTGAAACAAGGAAAGAATACACGAAGAAGCAAATTGGTTTTTTCCATTCCTACACCAATTTCAGAATTTTTAAGTGATAGGATATTGCTATGGTTTGAGTTTTAAAAATTTATTTTCCAATTATAAGTGTCTTAAGTATCAATCCAAAAAAAAAAAACAATACAAGTGTCTTAAGAATATGGTTTTAAGTTTTCTAGAAATTTACCGTTATGTCTAAATTACTATTTGTGGTATCTTTCAGATTTAATACTTAGGCCCCATTCTTTTTCTGAAAACATATTTACCCAGGTAAATGTGTTTAACCAAAGAAGTTTTACCTTTGTCACAAAATGCTAGCCAGATAAGTGTGACAATTTTTCAAAAGAGCTCTAACTATTGTGTGAAACTATACTTTACTTTCTCTCTCTCAAAAAAAAAATGTTTTTAGTCCTACAACAGTTTGGCCAACTTTCCCCCTCTATGGGAAAGTGATTTACCCACTTAGGATAATGGCAACACTTACCCAAGAAAGTAGCCCAAAAATTAAATGCGCTTTCAGTGAGAGTGAGTCCTAAAGTTCCTTTGAAAGGAATGCAGGGAAGTTGGTCAAGTTCCCCTCATCCCCCTTTGTACAGTGTAAAAGAACAAGGCACTATAGTAATTCCCATAATTACTATTTTAAGTAAATTCATGATTTCCTATTTTCAGTAACTTATAGTGTCTTTATATTAAGTTGGTTTTAGTAGGATTAGCAAGGTGTTATTAGAGTTTTTTAGGAGTTAGAGTCCTTATTTAAGTGCCCTAATTGGAATCCTTATACAGACATCAGTCCATATGCTGAGTCTATAAATAGAGCCATTGTAATTGCAATAAAAGAGTTGATTTGATGAAATTAAGTTTGGTTTGGTAAATTCTGGTTGTTGCGAGGAACTTTTTTCCCTCTCATCTATTTCTTCTTCTAAGTGATCTGTCTTTTTGCTGCTTACTATGATAGCAAGAGTTTTTCTCCTTTCTGATTTCTTACTCATCTTTTGGGTGGACAGCAAGTTTTCTATTTGTTTCTCCATTCCTATTCTTTATTCTTAATCCCATATAGCCCCTTGGTTACCCCATAAAGCCCACCAGAACTGAAATTTCTAGGACCGCTACCTCGTCCTGCATCAATCAATGGCAATGTCTAATTTTTATATTTTTTGACTCTTGGGTGGGCAAAATATGCCACTTCTAATAATATCTGAGGTTTCACTGCAACTTCTAATACTTTCCTAAATCTTCCTATACAATCTTAGTGTCTTCTATTATTTCATTGGTTTCCAACAATATACCTGAGATGTCCCTGATCACTAGGGTCAGGTATCCATATATGACAATTTTTGAGCCTTGGATTTAAGGACCTCAAAAAGAAAAAAAAAAAAAGGAACTAAAGACTTCAACAGATATTTTTATCTAGGACTCTTTTCACAAAGTCATGAACTTGATTAACTTTTTATCCCCTGCAGTATTGCATGCATAGTTTTCAAGGCGACAGGGGAGCGCCTTGTTGCCTAGGTGATGGATTTTTTCAAGTAAAAAACATATATCCTATGGTAGTTCCCTAGGTTCTATAACCATATTTCCTTAATAATTATCCATAATTTTCACAAGAAAAGTATAAGCTTCATGTTAAAGTATAGAAAATCAGCATATTCATAAGAAAAAGAAGAAAGAAAAGAAAATTCGGCTAAACCCCTATTTTATTATAGGAAAGAAGAAGATACATAGAAAAGAAGATACACCATTTAGCAATGTTGACTAGATAAAATTTTTAAGTTCTTCCTTACTTATTGATTCAGGTTTTGAAGTCTTTGAGGGTTAAATACAACATGTAGCAATGTTTGTGTTGATTAAACCCTAACAAATAAGAAAGGAATTAATATATACACACACAAAATGAAGTCTATTTTATAATTATAATCTCAAAAAAATAAAATTTAAAAGTATTTTATAACACAATGCTCAAAACTGCTTTGTGATTAGGTGAGGCAAGCCTCCAAGGGCACCTTGTTGCCTAGGTATCACCTAGGTGCCTGCCTAGACATTGCCTTGACAAATATGACTGCATGTTGTCTTTGCGCCTATGGAGAGAAGTGGCAAAACGTAAATACATTATAGTCTTGTGTATTTTCATCCTAGATGGAACATCTTTGAACATTGAAAACTGAACCACTTTTGTTTGTGTTTTTTCATCATTCCACTTCATAAATTTACCCTGCATTAACACTTTGATGACCTACATTTTGAAAAACCCATAAATAACCTTATTCAGATTCCACATGTTTGGGTACCACATAAAATGAAATGATTTATTTTATTGATCTGAAGTGAAATGATTTCATTATGGTTTTTCTTCATATTTTGCATTGCAAGTCACCATCTAAAATGGAGTCTGTGATTGTTAACAAAAATCAGAATGAAGCAATTCCAAGATTTCAACAAAATGAACTCAACATTTTCCATTAACTACCATAAATAAATCTGTTCTATATGATGACAGTGTAGATTTGAATGCTATTAAGATGTAATTCATGTGGCATCAGAGCAGGCTATATACATAAAGAATATAGAAAATGTAAATCAAGCAACAAAGTATCAGTACTGATCTAGTTTAAAACACAATACTCATTGCATAATATAGTAACTCTAGAAGAAGTTAGACTAAGATACTGGTCTATCCAAAAATGAATAAGTCTTACTTCCATGACTGGGATAGAAGAATAGCCTGGGATGACTGAACCAGCTGAATTAATGAGGACAGTAGACCTCACCAAAGCAGGCCAAAGAGCAGCAACAATAGAAACAAAATAGCCTGGCAACAGAATATCAATTATTTAAACCACAAGCCATCAATGGGAACCTTAAGGTTCATAGTATCGGAAACACAAGGTGTATTCGAAATGCAATTTTAAGAGGCGTATCAAGAAATGCTTTGTACACAGATGGATATGGACAAAAAATTTAGGGTCACAGTCGGAATTGGAATTGGAATTGGAATCAAAATCCTTTGGGAGTCTGTTTGGTTCAGACAGGAATCGGAATGGGAATTGAAATCAGCTGGAATGGGATTTCATTCCCAATGGAAGGGGAGGGAATGGCCATTCCCTCAAATGGGGGAATGCCGTTCCACCAGGAATGGGAATGGGATTCTGATTCTGCCCAACCAAACAGTTGGAAATGGAATAACCCATTCTGATTCCAATTCCAGACCCCTATTCCTGCAAACCAAACAGGACCTAAGATATGCTAGAAAATTCAAATGGATCCTAAAAAATTATATTAATAACAATAAATGAATTTTATATGACTATAAATAATTTATTTAAACATAAAAAAGCTATACTAATGGTGCAGTGGTTGACTTATGCTCATTATAAGTTAATGACTAGGGTTCAAATCATATTGGCCTCCTATTTGTGGTTTTTAATGGGCTATTTTAGTGGCACGCCAAATTTGAATTTGAATATAATATTGCCTTAAATGTCACATTTAATTCAAATTCGAAATTGAATGTTGCCTTTAATGGTATGTCAATTGTCCTAAATGTAATATTTAATTAAAAGTGATTTGTAAGACTTGATTAAGAGTGATTTAACTGAGAGAGAGAGAGAGAGGAAAAGACACAAAATTTGACTTTGAAAAGTATTAAAATTCAAATTCTAGCAGCCAATACAAGCATTGTATTAAGCTTGTACCTATCGGCCGATACAAACTCGATACGAGCCCGTATCGGCCAGATATGAACGAAAAAATATGAAACTGGCCATTTCTACATGTTCCGTGTATTGGGCCCTCACTGAAACAATGTGTATTGCTCGATACAGCCAGATATATTGCGAAATTTTAAACCTTGGGAACTTTGATGGAGAACAGACAAAGGGAAATTAACTTATAATTGGATTTGCAAATGATAAAGAACTAAGGAGTTGAATCATACCACCAATTGAGTTACCAATAAGGTGAGCTGGTTCACCCACAACATTTACAATGAAATCTCTTAGCAGTTCTGCCCACATGAGTTCCGTGTACACAAGGTTTGGTTTTTCTGATTTGCCAAACCCTAAAAGTGTAATTGCCCAAACTCGATTTCCACTGTGAGCTATGTCATGCATATTGTCACGGTAATGCTCCAAAAAAGCACCAAAACCATGTACAAGAAGAACAGAAGGACCCTGCTGACCAACAACTGTGTACTGAACAAGGAAGAGCTTGTTAAAGTACTAACATTTATGGAAATATTTAAAATCTCGTTGATAAACTACAAACTCAGAAATTTATGAGATATGCATTGCAGCTTTGTGAAGCAATCACACACACACACACACACACATATATATATATATTGTTTTTTCCAGTGTCTGTACATTGTACTTTCTAGTGTGTGTTCAATATTGACGGTCCGTTTGGTTCACATCCAGAATCGGAATCGGAATCAGAATTGTATGGTTCAGACAAGAACAGGAATGGGAATTGGAATCAGCAGGAATGGGATCTCCAAGGGAGGGGCAGGGAATGGCCATTCCCTCAAATGGGAGAATGCCATCCCAGCAGGAATGGGAATGGGATTCCAACTCCACTCAACCAAACAGTTGGAAATGGAATGGCCCATTCCGATTCCGATTCCAGACCCCTATTCCCACGAACCAAACGAGGTCTCAGTGCTTTGAAGGATCACAAAAAGATTCTCAACAAGCTATTTCTGACATGAAAAACATGAACTTCAAAAATGAATAGACATTGGCAACTTCCTGGAACAAATATTCATTAAATACCTGAATCAGATGGCCATTCCATCTCCATATCCTGATAGAATATCTTGCCTCACTGTTTAGTTGGCTTTTCAAAGCCAAAATCCAATACCACTGCCATAGCAATTAGCAAAAGTGTTAAACGTTTAGCATGGCAAATAGATGTCAGAGCTGTAAATGAAATGGTAAATACCCTGTTAGTAACAAAGAGAGTCACACCAATCAGAGCAGAACAATGAATTCAGCACCATTAGTACAGATCAGCCACCTCAGTAATGTTCATTTTACCTCCATTGAGCAGACAGTTTCAACTGCTGTGGCAATTGTGGCTGCTGAGTATCCAAAAGGAGATAGAAATCCTGCATTACGTTCTTTTTCATACTTGATGGTTTCATGATATATTCTCCTTCTTGATAGGATGCCAAGACAAATGGCAGGCCCAAAGAGAGCAACAAATGAAGCTCCACTCCTACTTTCAGCATTACGTAATTTGTCGTGCACCCTGTCGTGGAATCGAGCCAAAAGGAGTATTTATGAGGTGATGACAAACAATACAATTTTGACTGCATGACAGTTATATTTATGATCTACCTAAAATCGTCATGTTTCACTTAGCCCTAATCTTTGCAATAAAATGCAAAAAAATTCACAGTGCACAGGTGATAGCACTCCCATTGAACTAAGAATGTTGGAGGACCTTTTTTTACTCTCTGGTTCTGTACTAACACTGTAACACAGACAAGGGGTAAAAGCAGTATCTGAAGCCCTCTGTCTTTGCTGATTGCCAGCACAAGAAACAAAGTATCATGGATGACAGATGACACTGCAGCTTTCTCCCTTAGAGACCAAGAACCAAAGTAGCAAACTGAACATCTCTAACCATGTATACTTGGCAACTATGATACCTGGATACCTTTACCAGGGTTCCATATCATGTTGGACATTTCAAAATTCGGTGTAAATTCCATAATATGACAACATGTACAAATGTGTCCAAGCTGTATCTGGGTAACATAGCTTGGCAAACACAGAATAGGAAAAATACATGTAAGAAGGATGTAATCTACCCTTTTCAAATAAAACAGGAAGTATGACATTTTATTTGCATATACTAGAATTAATACTATAGGGACAAAAAAGGAAATAAAAGAGAAAAGGAGAAGAAACTGTGACCAAGGTTATGTTTAACATTTGTGGAGTATATGATATGATGTTTATAGGTGCTACGGTTACAGGAGACATTTTCCCACTTGAACAAGTTGCAGGCAATCTAATCTATCAGCAAAGTAGCCCATTACTATCATCATGATCTAAGCAATTAACTGTAGACATCTGGTGTAAAATCAAGAACAACTTATGCTTTCAATTGAAAGGGAGAATATTTAACCCAAGAAAAAGAACCTTTCTCAATAAGTTTATATAAATCTACAAGTATGATATAAAAAACATCATCCTCACTTGCAAGTTCTAGCTGGGTAAGTAAGAAGAAATTTGGGCATGAAAAGATATATTACAAAGATCAGTAATCACTTACTCCTGCCAATCATCTCTGCTTGTTCCCTCCAAATACCTCAAATATGCAGCCAATGCATTCAATACGGAGTTTGTCCCACCTCCTATTAGATTTGAATTTCTTGAGATAAATACAGAATTTTCTGTTCTTCGGGTGCTCCAAGAATTCAAATTGTTTTGATTGTTTCCACTTGGATATGGGTTTCTCAAGCTTCCATTCGGATCATTTAACATTTTAGATTGATTGGTTTTCCCTCTCTTTAAAATATCTTTAGCTGAAATATCTTTAACTGAAGTCCAACTCTCATCCAATTTGCATGGATTGCCATTGATAAAAGCCTTCACTTCATGAAATGTAGGTAAGGTACCTGAAGCATTATTCTACCATACTATATAAGCTTTTCAATAGCAATTAGAGAGCAAAAGAAAATGGCTACATACCATATGAGAACTAAAGGGAAAAAAGAAATTGAAGACTGAGAATGTAAATTTGAAGGAAAAAGGAAAGCAGCTAGAGCATACCCCAGTCCAATTCCATATTTATTCCAGTTAATGATGGGGACACAACCGGAGCAGTGACAGGCAACCGAAGTTTTCTAAAGTCGCGGTTTGACAAAGGAAGCTCCTTCAAGTTCTAAACCAACATGGGTATGTAAGAAATCCAATGAATTTCTAGGATAAATTCAGCTAACTGATCATCAAATGAAACAAAATACACAGTTTGCCACCTCAATATCATAAAACGGAGTCTGCCAAATCACAAATTGAGGGCTCCCCCATGTAAAGGACATGGACGATACTGAATCTTTAACGACATTGATCACTCGGCGAAGGTCATATTCCACCTCCTCCTCCACAAATACGTTGGAAGCTTTTACCTGTATCAATCCTAGGTGATGAATTGATGGAATGCATTGGAAGTTCCCTCAGCATAGGCGTTTAAATATTATAATTAGCTAACTAATGTGTTAATAATAAAAATATTCTGCTGAGAGAGAGAGAGAGAGACCTCATTCACGAGCTGTCCTATGACATTTTCTGCAATGCCGAACCTGATCATAAGATTAGAGCCCTGATCCTTGAGCGATTTTCTTAAATCTTCCAAGGCAAGGAGAACCACTCCTAGCATTTCATCATTTAAACCTGAACAAAAGAATATCAATGCCAACGGATTCTAATCTCTTCCTATTGCATTCAAAAATAAATAAAAAAACAAAGAAGCTTCTTTGTCGTCTAAGGAGGGGAAGGGGGAATTACGGGAGAGGATTCGGTGGTCGAAGATGTAGAGAGGAACGACAGTGTGATGACGAGAGGCAGCAACGAGGCCTGGATGATCGTCGCAGCGGAGATCGTGCTTGAACCAAACAAGGGCGACATCGTTGTCATTCTTCTTATTGGCTCCTCTTCTGGTATCACCTTCTGGCGTTGCAGCCACCGAAAAGATACGGCACCGCACACTCCTGGTGGGCATCGAATGGAAAGAGGAAGGAAAGGAGAGAAGGCGCGGGAAATGGAGAAGCGCCATGATAGGAATAAGAGTGCAGGAGGAAGGGGTCGACCGTTTGAGTTCGATTTGAGTCGACCACGAGGACGATGTTATTTTTAACATCCATCAACAACTGATTCACTGTTTGTCTACTCTTCTTCAACCACGGGTTTTGGGAAAGAGACAGACACACCCACGCGACGAAAAGATAAATTAGCAGAGCAGAAGCTGTGGAGGAGAAAGGAGGAGAAAGTAGCTCACAACTCTTTCTCCCTCTTCAATTTTTATCGATGTTATCAGGTAGAACTCTTAAGTTAAAAAACATTTAAAGTAATGTCCAACCAAATAATAAAAGTAAAATTGTACAAATACATATTTATAACGATAAATGGTGAATTTCAGAAAAAAGTAAAATTATTTAAAGTGAAAAACGTTTTAATTAAAACGACCGTGTGCTGTACGGGAAAATCTGAAAGATTTAATAATTTTATTTTTTATTTAATGTTGATTTATAAAAAATAATTATTGTTAATTGAATTATGAAAAATATTTTTTAATAAATTTAGTTTTATTAATAATTTATAGTAATTTTAATAATTTTTATTTTTTTATTATTTTTAAATGAAATTCTGATTAATTTTAAATAAATAAAATAATTATAAAAGCTAATATTTTTACAAATTCCACTAATAATTAACAATTATATAGGAATGAGAACAGGGTGGGTTCAGGGCAAGGCACCCATCCCTTTTCTTGCCCCATAGTCAAGACACTCTATCTCATCCTCGCCCCGTCCCCAATATCATACGGGTTCAGGGCACGGTAACAACTCCTCAATGTCGGGCGAGTTTAGGGGTAAGGCACCCCACTCCTCATAAAGGATGAAGAATCCTCGAATTTCCCTGCTCCGTCCCTAGTTATGGGTGGGTTCAAGTAGAGGTGTAAATTGTGTCATGTTGGGTCGGCATGACACAACCCGCACTGGCCCACGAGGCATCCCGGGCCTTGCCTCCCTCCTCTAGGATAATTTGGGGGGTTGGTTTGGCACAGTCCACGACTTGAGCCTACACGGGCCCAAGTCGTGCCATGGGTCGGGCCTCGAGCCAGGCCATGCTGCACACCAAGCCAAGCTCAAGGCAAGGCACCCACTCCACGTCCGAGGTTTTTAAAATTGGACCAGATAGGAAACCGTTATGGGGTCAAATAGTCTAATTGTTCAGTCCGAACGGATGACATGCTCTGATAAAAAAAATAAAAAAATAGAAAAACAAAAAAGGCCAAAAATTGTTGTTTGGGTTAACGGTTCGACCGCCTAGGTCAGCGGTTTCGCTAACCAAATAAACAGTTTTTGGAGAAAAAGCGGTTTTGAGGTGAAACGGTGTCCGGTTCCCAATTTTTTTGGTTTAACCATTTGGTTTGATCCAGTTTTGAAAACACTGTCCCCGTCAACCTAAGATTCAATTTGATGATAGAAAATGATCAAAATGATATATTGAGTATCAACCACACATGGTAATTCTCTAAAAGTACACTAAATTGTATTTAATATTCAAAAATGTAGTTTTATGAAAATTTTGGAAAATTTATTGTACTTGTGTAATTTTGAAAATTTATTTAAATTTTTATTAAATAGTTTATTTTCTTTTTAAATGGTTTACTTACAGACTTATACTAATTTATCTTATGATTTGTAATATAAACTAACCAATAATTTTCTTTTTCTAATATTATACTAATTTATCTTAATAATTTGTGTAATTATTTGTTCAAATTATAGTTTCCCACTTCCCATAGTCATTTATCTTTAATAATTTTCAATAATTTGCAAAGAAAATTACATAATTTTTCAATGGTTTTCCAAAATCTATCAAATGTAATAAATTTTCCAAAAATTTCCAAAATATTCTAATAATGTTCAATAATTATTTAATGCATTTTAAATCAACGTTCAAATACTTTATATCTTTTAATTTCAAAAATGTTATTTTACGAAAATATAGTTTTATGATTTTTTTTGAAAAATTTATTACATTTGTGTAACTATGGGGATTTATTGATTTTTTTTTTAAATTGTTATTAGATATATTTTTTTATTTGGTAGTTTACTAACAAAATTACACTAATTTATCTTTTATTTTTCAATATAATTAATTAATAATTTCATTTTCTATTTTATGTTATTGATGGTGATGTTTGACTATGTTATATATCGGGTATAGATTTATAATTTATGTTATTTTCTTCAATTTTTATGGTTTTCTATTTTTTGTAAATTTTCTATGTATTTCTTCATTTTTTATAATTTATATTATTTGCAATATATATATATAGGAAGAATATAAAGTTGAGGGTAAAGTTGCAAAGTAAAATTAGAGTGTTTTGACCAAACCAATTGCACCATTCTCATTTTTCAGTATGAGATATAAGTTTTTATGATTTTCTACATTTTTTTTGTTTTTTGTAATTTATATTGCTTTCTTCATTTTACGTTTTTCATAATTAAAATAATTATGAAAAATTAGGAAATTAGGGTAAAGTTGAGGGTAAAGTTGGAAAGTAAAATTAGGGTGTTTTGACCAAACCAATTACAGCATTCTCACTTTTTAGTATACTAGTGGAATGGCCCATGTGATGCACGGGGTATTTGATATTGAAGGTGATATTTGACTATGCTTTCATATATTGGGTATAGATTTGTAATTTATGTTATTTTCTTCAATTTTTGTGATTTTCTATTTTTTATAAATTTCTATGTATTTCATTGCTTTTTTATAAATTATATTATTTTCTTCATTTTATGTGTTTTTACATAATTATTTTGCAATAACATATATATAATGGGAAAATTAGAAAGTTAAGGGTAAAGTTGGAAAGTAAAATTAGAGTATTTTGACCAAACCAATTGCACCATTCTCATTTTCAGTATGATATATAAGTTTCTATGGTTTTCTACATTTTTTGTAAATTTTCAATGTATTTCTTTGTTTTTTGCAATTTATATTGTTTTCTTTATTTTATGTTTTTCATAATTATTTTGTAGTGACAATATATATAAGGGAAAAAATAGAAAGTTGTGGGTAGGCTTGACGGGAGTAGACTTGTCAATGATACCCGAAAATCCATTTGATACTTGGACACATGTTGGCTCTAATCAATGAAGATGTTTGTCGGGTAGGCTTGACGGGAGTAGACTTGTCAATGATACCCGAAAATCCAAGGCCCAATTCGACATCCAATCTGATTATCTTGGATTTAGATTACGTATTTATATAATTAGATCAAATTCGGATGTTACAATCTACATCCAATTAATAATCAGATCGGATTTTGATTTGACCCAATATGATTTGATTAAAATTTGAATATGATTATATTATAATATTTATTAATTTTAATACAAAAATTCTATATAACTATATTAAAATATATTTTAAATATTATATTATATATGAATTTATATATAATAAATTTAGTATGTTATCTTTATATTAATTTATTATATATAAAAGTTGAAAAATAAATAAATTTTTAATTTTACTAGTATTTTAGAGAATTTAAAGTTGAGTCGGATTAAATCTAAATCTGATATGAGTTTGTTAGGATTCGAATTCGAATCCAAGTCTTTAAATCCAATCGAATTTCCGATCAAATTTGAATGTAGGTTCTTAATATATGGATCAGATGCGGATTTTGCTACATCCAATCAGAATCCGATCCGATTGTAGCTCTATTCGGGAGAAGATCAGATAAGGCCTAAGAGGAGAGAGGAGTAGGTTTAATTGCGGTTTTATTATTATTATTTATTTTGTTACAAGTGTGAACCATTAATTAAATAAAATTGGAAAAATAAAAAACTAGTATTATTTTATTTGCTTTATCCAATTACAAATGTTAATCGTTAATTAAATAAAATTAGAAAACTAAAAAGGGTAAAAATGGAAAGTGAAAATCAGGTATTTTCACAAAACATTATCACCATCCTCATTTTTATAAATGTACAGACAACATTCTCATTTTTTAGTATGGTATATAAATTTTTATGTTTTTCTATATTTTTGTATTTTTTTTACGTATTTCTTTATTTTTTCAGTAATTTATATTGTTTTCTTCATTTTGAGGAGAAAGGTGCATAGGATAAGAGAGATGCCAATTTTGCTTCCTCCTTCCTACTATAAAGTAGGGGGAGTGGATAAAATCTACAATATACAGATAAGAGTTTGATGGAGAGAATTGGGGCTTTAGCATTTATGTCTTTGCTTCATGTGTGAATGATGACATTTGACATTTTGCCTCTTGCCGTTTTGCTCGTCAATGGTGGGGCCATTATTTGCATATCTAATGGCTAGCATTAGGATATAAGTTAATCCTGATTCATTTATATTCAGATTTGAAGTATTCGGATCTCCTCCCTACAAAATGCATTCCAAATCCCTATGGCCTTACCAAGTACAATCCCTACGATATTATGTTGGTAAGTGTTAGATTATTGAATTGACCTGATGATCATCGAGAAAAAACACGTAAAATGAAGCAATATAATGAACCTAAGAGCATTTCCTGATCCAATACAACTTATTATGTTAATAGAGACAATTGAAAAAAAAATAGGGAGAAAACAAAAAATAAAAAGCTTCATTTAATCATCTGATTGTTCCCTGATGAAAAGAGAGAGGTTGAAAAAATATATTATTCCCTTCAATTCAAATTTGTGGTTTGGGCAAACCATCTGATACTTGACATGTGTTGGTTATAATCAATGAAGAGGTTCGTTAAGTAGGTACTTCGGGAGAAGATCAGATAAGGTGAGGAATAGGTTCCATAGTAGTCTTATTGTTATTTTATTTGTTTTATCCAATTACAAGTGTTAACCGTTAATTAAATAAAATGGAAAAAATAAAAAACATAACAAAGGGTAAAAATGGAAAGTGAAAATCAAGCTTTAAAATAAAAAACATGACAAAGGGTAAAAATGGAACATGAAAATTAGGCTTTTTGATGAAACTTTGTCACCATCCTCATTTTTATAAATGAAAATGATGTGATACAGAGATTATCCAATTACAAGTGTTAATTGTTAATTAAATAAAATTGGAAAATAAAAAAATAATAAAGGGTAAAAGCGAAAAGTGAAAATCAAGATTTAAATTAAAAAACATGATAAAGGGTATAAATGGAAAGTACCATTTTTATAAATGGTACAGATACAAATATATATAAAACATGATAAAGGGTATATATATAGTTCAGGTATTTTAAGAGGGGATAGGATTGGAAATATAAA